ACATAAACTTTTACAGACACCACAAAATATTTTCTAAAAATGATGAAATTACTATACGAAAATTATTCTGAACTAGAGAACTCAATGTACTCAATTATTCAAAAGATATAAAGACTCATGACATATTGAATACCGTTTTTGCCTGAGATCAAACAAAAAAAACTCATAATTTGTATTTGCAGTTGCTTCTCTGATGGAAAAATGTTATTGTAAATATATTGTACAACTGTCTTACCGTTCATTAAAACGAAAAATTAGCAAATCACATCATAAATTAAAAATATCGACTAATACACAATATGTAAAATTAATCACACAATTGAAAGAATATATTATCAGCTTTGATCCATAGCGTATTTATTTGTCTAGTATGAGCAAAATCAGTGGATGCAGAGAGATACACATAGATTTTTCCCACCATCATGATAAATATTAACGTATTTTAACATTAACGGACAAAGTAAACAAATCCTTGTATAATTCAATCGATCCTATTCAGACAGAGCCATTTAGTAAATCGTGAGGCGATGTCATTTCGAGATAAAATACAATAGAATTTCAATAGCACTAAGAGAAGTCGCCTGTGAAATAAATCAGCAAGAGATTCTTAATACGATAAGAATAAAAGAAAAAAAAAACATGTTGAAAACTTTTATGATCTGACAAGTATTAGAAACATGGAACGAACATATATAATGATAACTATGCTACATCATAAGTAGATCAGAATCAACTTTAAACTTTGAGAAAAATAATATATAAATGAGTTAAGCAAACAGTTAATAGAAACAGGCAACAGCTCGTACATACATAAAAGAAAATACTCGCACATCTTTATGAATATCGTATTTTTTGTTATTTTTAGAAATTGACTTATCATTCTGCTAAGAAATCAAAGTGATCAATAAATAAGTTTTCATATCTGATGTGTTCATATTATAGAAATGATTGGTAGAACCCGGTAATCCATAAAAAATCCGAGAACTCGAACAAATCTGAAGAACTCAAACTATCGCAGGAATCTAAGGGATTCAATTTGTTTGAAAACTGCAAGAAATCCATGAATTCGAAAGATTCCTTAAAAAAAAGGGCGGCATCGAAAGAATTAAAAAATTGAAGGTATCGTGTGAATTCAGAGAATTTAACAATTGGTGGAAATCTAGACAGCACAAGAATTCCTAAGAAATACAGAAAACAGAAAGAAAGAGAGGAATCAAAGACTTAGAAGGAATCCAAAAAGTGCAAAATATGATAAGATTCAAATGAGATCAAGAATTCGAAACGCTATCAAAAATCAAAGAAAGATAGTGACCTCCAGGAACACAAGACATGTCTTTCAAGCAGATAGCGTTAAGAGTACAGGTGAAGATGAAGAGACACGTCTTGAACACATTCAAGATCGAAAAAAGAAAAAAATACTGATAGGTGAGGAAACACCTTATTCTGAGAAGTGTGAGAACATATTTAGAATAGATATCCTCGATCAACTAATGGCTTATAGAACAAAGAAGATGATTGGTTGTGTGAAATCTTTTGTTCTACGAAAATCATGAAGTCTTTCAAGTGAAGACTCGAGACGCAGGCTCTTCTTTAAAGCAATCTCATTTTTCGCAGTCGTGTTTGAAAATCGATTTGAGTAGAGTGAAAAGAAACTATCGAATACGTGTCGTTTCAAAACAGGTCTAGACAGTCGATTCACTTGAAATTTTCGAAAATCCTCGTTTATCAACCATGGTTTTAGTGCAACACCTAGGTTTCTTACCATGTTTTTGTAGTCGGACTAGTTTCAGTTCATCAACTCTAATCCGGGTATCCTATATTTGTGCTACTTATACTGAATCTTCAATAACACGAATACTCTGATGCTTTTAACTTATTTCAATATTTTATTCATCTTTTTGAATCATTACTAAAGACTCTTTAGGGTACGAGTCAGTAAGTTTTTGCATATCTGCAGTGCGTTTAGTTAATTTGTATGTAGCAATTAATATGCATAAAACGCCCATAACAATCAAAATTTCCCTGGGACCTATTCTAACCTTTCTTCTAAATGATCAATTAAGAAGGTTTTGATCAGTCTTATATCATTCGACACTATTACGCAAAAAAAATAAAAGCCACTCGTTGTAAGAGATTGATCGAATAGCTATAATATTCTCATAGGTGCTGTTTGTAAAAAAAAATCAAAAACTTCCTATTAATTTTACGTTATGAGTATCACTTCTGCCTATAAGAGGTAGAAAGCTGAAATTGTAGTGACGAATAGACCTAGATGTCTGGTATATATACTGAAACTATCAGTCTATTCTGCTGAAAAAAAAACATATAAGAAAAGAATATTATTTAAAGGGCAGCAGAATTTATTACACATTCTTTAGTGTTCTAGCAGTCAGATACACTAACCAAATATATTCTACACATGCTACACTACGAGTATTACCAGTGTATTATGACAAATATGTAGAAAATACTATCCTTATTTTGATCTATAATAGTTCTAACCAAAATATGCAATGGTTGAAAAAAATAAGGTTTGCATAATTCGGAATTATTTTTGCCTGGAGGTTTATAAAAACAAACACATTTACAAAGCAAAATGTTTACCACCTGTTAACATCTCGTAATAGGGCACGATAATACAGCGGTATACTTCTGCTTTCGTATTGCAATCAGACTTGAAAGACGAAAATCTGACAATATATAATAGATTTTCACTAAGTTTTCGAAACATTCTATCTCAGTGATGAATCATCGAAATAATGCAAATCAATATTTGATTAAATCTACATTTATGAAAAATTTTCATTAGTAATAAACTGTTACTATCAAGATCTACACTACTTTTTGAGCGTATCCTGATTGATGCTTAAGACTTCAGCATTGGTCTTGACGAAAACAGGCACACAACAATCGATAAATATCTCCAAAAAGAAAGTTCGATTGTTCTCAGAGAAATAAATTCAACTGTTTTGAAGAGAAGCGTGTTCTATACATGAAATGAGCTCAAATGAGATTTTCAAATCACGATCCACACCAAGTGATAAATTGATTTTTGTTCAAATATTCTATTAATGGTAGCGGTTCCAAATGGTAAAATTTGAATGCTTACAAATATGCATCGAGTTCCTTTCCGTGTTACTGTGTTGCTGAGAAAAGAAAACATTTTTTCGAAATGCAGGATAAAATACTCGAAACATTGCTCATAATTCTAGATTTTCTCCATAAAGAGTTAACTTTGATGCAAGATAGTTATCATTTTTAGAATCAGCATCAAAAACGAAGTTCACCAATGTCTTTCTTTTTTTTTGGCTTTTTATCGAGCTTTTCCTTAAAAAAAATGAACTGAAGTTTTCATGAAAAATTTTAAAACATATATCAATCGACTCAATTTGTTATGGTGACTCCAAAACTGATACGTTTGTTGGATAAAAATTCGACTTTTTTTGGAAACAATTGGTAATTAATTACAGACAGAGTTTCGAAAAAAAAGTTTTTCTCAGCAACAAACTAACACAAAAAAAAGAAATGCTTACTTTTTTTCTTTGTCATTTGATAACTCTAATCTCTTACTATTTGGAGTCACTACCATTAATAGATTTTGGATAAAAATTATTTTGTCATCGTCTCTACACTCAGTTTATAATGTTAGATCAGACCAAGCTGACAAGAAGAGCAAAACAGAAAATTTTGTACATTTTGAAGAAAAACGACATCTTTCTTTTTTTTCGAATTAAACAGAGCGTCCAGTAATGCTACGAATTACTTTTTCACGATCAACAGCTCACCTTCTATCAAACCATGCGTTTAAAATAAACGAAAAATATTTTTACTTCAAAATTCAAATCACCGATAGCTGATATTATGTTTTTCAGAGAAATCATTAAAGAATTGTTGCTGATCATGAAAAACTTCAGATATTTGAAAATTTATGAAAATGAAAAAAATATAGTCTCTTTAAAATTTTTCGTAAGACAGATAAATTCTTATACGGAAAAACAGAGTCAATCTTATCAAGTAGATAATAAACTTCTGTTTGTTTGACCATCAATACTTGAAGAGAATTCATGATGAACTAAGAAAGAAAGGTGTGGGAATAGACATCGGTGTTTTTTCTCTGTTCCTGCACATCCACACACTTATCGCAAAAAAATAATAATGAGTATTTATTTAGTTATTTATTCGATTAATAATAATGAAATATTTGTTTTATTTCTATGAACTTCTTTTCATTTTCTCAAGTATCAGCTTAATGAGAGAACTTCCTTAGGTGTTCCATTCCAGTTTAAATGATTCTTTGCCTATAGATACTACATAGTGTTCTAATAAAAAATCTAAAAGAATTTAGACGTCTATTTTTTAGAAGTCCTTCTAGGATCCCAAGTTTCCGGTATACTAGCATTTTTTAATTTTAATCTAAAATTTCGCATACATAAAGATCTCAACTAGACTAACTTCCATAAAAAAATTCATTAGCCATGAAAAAGATCGTATATTTCGACAGTTCCATATCTCAAAGAGACTGTTTCAAACTTGTCATTTTTTTATATGAGTTAATCTAGTTGAAGTCTCTATATGAGTTAAGTTCCAGATGGAAATCCCAAAATGCGAATATTTCGAAAACTTGTTATTTCTATAGGGACTTCTAGAAAATAGACATATTAAAAACTCGATAGCTTAATCAAATCTTATTAGAAATTCAAATCCTTTCAAAGTTTTTATCAGAACACTATTTAGTATCTATAGAATATAGGATAATATTTTTTAGCATATTTTGTAAATATTCAAACATTAATATTACTTCTTTCTTTAATTGTATGTTCTTCTTTAAAGATAAGTGTATAGGGAACCTGAAATGGTTTCATTCTATTACAGCAAATAACCGAACTATTGAACCGAATTAATTAAGATTAATTATTGTATGGAAATAAATCATTTTTATGTAAACAACGAAAACTAAAAACAAGTCTTTATTGACTACAGATACAAAACAGTATTTAAATCTAATCAGACTCATCAAATTTTCGCTTATGTACTCTTTCAGTATTTTGTGGTAAACTTGGGCGTCCAGATGATGAATGTGATGCGGTTTTGTTTCGACTATAATTATTAGCATGTAAGTTTTCTGATTTTCGTTTATACGATCGGTTTGATTGTCTATTTTTCCATTGTTCCCGGCCAGTTATCGATAAGGGAGTTGATGAGTGATTTGAGCTTTTCCTATAATTATTAACCTCTTTCGTTTGATAACGCCTAAGACTTGTAATTAAATCACATATTGCTCTTAACGTTTTCTGATATGCTTGTTTAACTGATCGAGTAATTTGATATGTAGGTGACATAAAAGCATCGGAACTAAATTTGTTTGTATAACGAGTTTTTAATGAAATCACAACATTTTTTGCATTACATAAAGATTCAGAATTATATATATCAATAGTTGATTGTATGGATTCTATTTCAAGAATAATTGATTTCATCATAGTACGAAATGTTGATAAACGTGGACTATACATAACATTTAATAAATCTCTTGAACAGTTCAACAGCTAAATAAAATAACAAGAATCAAAAATAAGTTTATGATTACATTTTATTTACTTGTTGAAATAAAACAATATTTTCTTGATTTTCTTTGCTGAGTGTTTCTGTATTTGTTTTAAAAGTATGCTGAGATAAACATTGAATATTCAAATGAGACGATGTTGATGTTGCTTGTCCAATTGAATTAATACATGAAGAAGAAACTGTATCAGATTTGTCGTTGTTTTCAACACATTGAAACCATTGACAATGTAAAGTCTAAGCACAAAAATAGTTAGAAAATTTAATTTCAAAGAATATCTAATCTGTTAAAGGTAATAAAAACCTACAAAGAAAGTCAAATTTTATAAATTGAAAGAAAACGATCAGGTATATTTGTGCAATCAAACATCTAACGAGAGGAATTTTTCAACAGACCAATTGTTTTTGAATTTGAACTTTATACATGAGATAGACCCCTAGTGAGGTACGAAAGGCCTCAAAAGAATAAGTCACCTTAGGCTTCCTATCCATAGTTATAGATATTTTACTATAATTTTAGTCTTTGACATGGTATATTGTAACAAATCAAATGACAATATTTTGACATGAGATTCTACCCACCGATATATCTATTTGTGAATAGAATGCTCTAAAAATTTTAGCTCAAAATACTGTTTCCTTTTCGACATATTAGAGTTCCAAAAAAGACTATTTTGAGCGGAAATTTTCAGCCTGTCTGTGAGTAAAATATCAGGTTGATATATTATCATTTGATTTGTTGGGATATATCATGTCAGGAGCTAAAACTTCATGAAAAAATACCTATAACTCTGGATAGGAAGCCTAAGTTAGTGTATCCTTTTGAGATTCTTCAGATCTCACTGGCTTCTACCTTATGTACAGTACGAATTCAAAAGTGATTTTTCGGTTGAAAACGTTCCCTCGTAAGTGTATCAGATACTATCAATCTTTAATAATAAGAAACTACTGAAGGACATTTGAATGAAATATATTTCATTGTTATGTTTTTGTCAACATCTATATACCTTGACGTTTTGATAAAATTGAGTAAATGAACTAACAATCATTAAATAGTCTTGATTAAGACTACATTTTTTGTTTTTTGTAACAAGTAATGTTGTTGTTGATTGGCAAATATCCAGAATATTATTTAAACAATTTGAATGTAGAGTAATACCAGATTGTTTAATTTCTTGAAAATATTCCTTTAATTTTTGAATTTGTTTTGCTAATGGATCAATTGTTAAACGTACATAACCATGAATTATGGAAATATTTTCAAATAATTGAATCAAATTTTCGTCAAAATTATTTTTACAAACTAACTCACGAATATTTTTCATTAAATCATTAATTGAATTAATAAATGAATATTCTAAATTTAAAACTGAATGATGAAAATTGATAATTATCAATTAAATTACCAGATGAAGCACTAGAAAATATTTTTTTAAATTTTTATTTCAACGAAAATATATCTTTTACGTATAATTTTGTTGTTGATCAAAATCTTGTTCATTTTTAACAACATGTTTATATTCAATTGATGTTATTGATGAGCTTGTGTCTGTCCGTATAGATGTCCTAATAATTATAAACTAGCTTAAAAAAAGGTATTGTTCAAAAATTTGATTACTCTTGCTCGAATGTTGATGTTGTTGTGGTAAGTTTTGTTTTCTTTTTAATCATATATTTTTTTGTTGTATCATTACTATTAGCTTCAACAGAAAAAAATTAAAGGAAATTTAAAGAAAACAATAATACCTTCATGAACACATAAATAAATTACAGTACTATTACAACTTAATCCATAATGATTAATGTATTCCGAAAATATTTGGTATTGACTAATATTCAATGGTTGAAGTTGAAAGTCATATAATGATGTTTCAAGTTCAGTATCAGCTTTAAAACAATAAAAAGAAAATCGAAATATTAAATTATCAATTTTTTTTTCTGTCAAATTACTCAATTTAAAAATGTTAAGAAGGAGATGATGAACATTATCAAAAGTCATATCTTTGTTTTGCCATTCACATGAACGACAACCACCACCATTTTCAAGATCAAGTTTTTTTACAGTACCATCTTTAGTTAGCAACAAACGACCACAACGAAATCTTTTGCTCATTGATGACACTTATCTAAACATTTTAAAAACTTGAGTACGAAAAACATATTCAGTTAAAGTTAGATTGTTTCTACATGATTAATCATTTATCATTATATAGATATTGATCAATCTAACAAATGAAATATAAAATATAAATAGTTTACAAAAAAAAAAAGGAACGATTGAAAGTATAGTCTATGATCAAATGTGCATGAATCATCCAATCGATGTCCAATGCACTAATATGAATGGACAACATTTGGTATGAGTAGAGTTGTCGGAAAGAAAAATTATGACTGATATGTATTAAAACATAACACATATTCATCTATATATTTTATTTTTGCGATTACTGAGATTCACGCAAATGATGGCGCTACACTACAGTCACAATGTGTCAATTGTTGAATTAACATATTAACGAAAGATGTCGCTAAATCTATTACTTTGTTTTTAGTTGTGTACCTACTTGATTTCAGTTGATCGCAACAATTTAATAATATATAAGTTCATTGTGTTAGTATCAATCATTAATTTTCTGGTTTGTTCCATAGAGATTTTAAAACTTTGATGTTGTTTATAGGTAGTGTTCAAAAATACTGATGTTTTTTTTTGTAATTGTGCTAATGGTTTTCTTTTGATTAACATGCATCGAAGAGTCAGCAATGAGATGAATAAGATAAGTAAGTTAGTCATTTGGGTGTGAATGAAGTTGATGGCATTCGGGTCTACGACAGATGTGCAAGGCGAAAGTTGGGCACCGGAAGATGCGCACGAAATAAAGCGTTCATATTTATACTCTAGAAAGATAATGCAGATATAGAGAAATAGCAAGAATTACGCAATTTTTTTTTATTTTCCAAATCATAAATATAATAATTAAATGAGTAAAAACAGCATGAAAAAGAAGTACAAGTCTTTGCTACTATATAAATATAAATTTGTTAGTGTTTAAATCTGTGAGGATGGATGTGAGCGCGAGAATTGACTTCTCTTCATCCACACTCACATGCACAACATAATCATTTGTTCATAAGGACAATTTTTTTCGCAGGCGCAAACGATTCGTACGCAAGTGAGCCGAGCGCATCTTTCTGGAGTGGGTGGGTGTGGGTGTAGGCATGGATGTGAATCTAGGTGTCATAGAAGAAAAGATCCACATCCGCTTCCACTCTTGGGCACCGAACTGAGACCACCTTTTTCTCATTTTTACTAACCGGAACCGTGATTCCGATTTCGGGTAACTTTTGAAACCACTAACCTCTATTATGGACACATGTACCAGCAATATTCTACAAAAATCTCATAAAATTATTGTGAAATGATATATCATTGTGACTCTGATTTGTATACTATATTGTTTCTCTTTGTTGACGTATCATTTTCTTTGTTATCGTTTGATTTTCATCTCATTTTATATGATGTGTTTATACAATAAAAAAAGAGTTGATTATGAGAATGCAAATGATAGAAGATGTCATTATACTGAAAGCCATCAGCATTTACTTTCAAGGTTCATCATATTTTATCTTTTAGTTGAAGTAAGTTTCAAACCAGAAAGACATACTGTAGAAATTGGGAAGACACAATCGTTGAGATGTCTCTTTAGACTGAATTGATGCTCAAGAGATTTGTTTACATTTTTGGTAAAGTGAATACATTAGTAGAGCCCCGATAAAAGTACGATAATGTAAACAAAATTGAATAGTTATCACAATATGTCTCAACTAAGACATCTTATCATGTGTAACCAACAGTTAGGGATGTTCAACAATCTTCAAAATTAATGTCTTCATTTCGATAAGAGAAAACATGAGTAGTAGATCTATCAGTACAAAAGAATCAAACATTAGTCGAGAATTAAAAGACAGAATCATGACCTAAAAAATGGTATCACCAATCGAAATTTGTTCGATTATAAATAGGTTTTATTTGTCTAGTTTGATACTATTCCCGATCTTACTCAAACTCTTTTAACACAACGTTATTTTCAGATCTCTTTACCTCGAAGGAAAAAAAACAATCTCTATCTGTATCTCTATGCTTCGACAGTCATGTATTCCGAAAGAAATATTAAAAATTTGTTAAATCAATGTAGTTTCAGTTTCTAATTTGTGTTTGATGAGACTCGAGTTCAAACAGAAACCTGGTTGATAGAGTTGTATGTGAAGATGAACGTGAGAAACAATGGGATGATTATTAATTTAATAGTGTTGAATTTATCTTTCTAATACTCATCACCGGATTAAACATAGCTTGCTTGTATGCTTAATATAAAAAGCAAACAATAGACAAAAAGAAGCGTTGACAATCCTTTGAATTTTCTTTTTTGTTTTAAAATGTAAATATTGCATTTCACCACTATGGCTGAAGTCTATGTCACAGCTACAATAGTACAGCACTCCTATCGAGAGCTTTTAAAAACACGTATCTTTCATCTACTAGCGAGATGTTGTATGAGACTCTAGTGAAATGATGCACCTTGGCTGCCAGTTCGCATTCTGATACATAGTCTAGTCGACAATTGTCTTGTTGGATAAATGTTTAACGCCACGAGCATTCTCTTGCACGATGACTACAGACTCATCGATTGAGGCTCATACTTTTTTCATCTGATTGAAAAAAAAGGGACTTGACACACATTCTCAAACTGGCAAATTAATAAAGCACCGATCTCTACCGACCTGCAGCTTTTCGTAGACGAGGCAATTTTCGCCCTGGTTTTAGAGATGTTTATTAGAAAATGTAGGATTGTTTTGAACTGCCCCATGCGTTTCAGTTAAGAATCTCAAAAGAAAGCTCCAATCTTTTTAAAAACTGGTCGTCTCCGACAATATTTTAAACAGTTTTGTTTGAATGAGCATGTGTGTTCAGTGGTAGTTCTCAAAACCGAAACCGTCAAACGATGTTAGATGAAGGCTAAATCGAATTCAGTCAAAGATCAAGCAGGCCGTAATGACGAGCATTACTTGTTGATCAAATAGAAAAAAAAGAAAATATTTTATTGTGACTCTATTTTTTCCAGTTTATTTGACGTTCTTTATTTATTGAATATATGATCAGTGTTTTATTATTTGGAAATTTTTCAAATTAATTTATTTAAGAAACAAATGGTTCTATCAGTTTTGAGACAGTTTTTGTATGAATTGTTATATATTTAAACAATGAAATAGATATTTGCAATATAATATCAGAAATAAAAATAAACAAAAATAGAATGATGAAATTATTTTGATGTTAAAGTAGATAGTCATATTCGACTACAATTCTAAATAAAATCAGTATTTCAAAATATCAAATTAAGATTCTCTAGGAAATTTAACAAACTTAACAATACTTTTTTATGTTTTTTATTATTAATTTATGTTTATCGATGATTTATTGTAAGAGAAAAAAAAACATATTTATGTTAATATTTTTATAGTTTACTTGTACTTGTTTAAATATTAATTAAAATTAAAATATATGAAGATTTAATAAATAAATATCGATTATTGAGAATAAACATAAATAAAATATCTCAAAACCAATATATATATATATTATTAGAAGATCATGTTTATTATTTTTTTATACATATTTAGATTTAAATTAGTTCTCATATTGATAATTTGAACCCGATAATTATCTGACAAACTTTATCGATTTTTAAGATTGATGGTTTATTTTATTTTCAATTTAATTAAAAACTTCTATTCAAGTAATAAAGGGGCATGGTCATGAATCCTTTTAGACTTCGACTTGTACCACTGAGTGCTATTTATCAACCACATATGATCTTGATCAGCGTCCGACATTAAAGCAATAGTTGGTTTTTCCTACATTTATCATAAAGGTTGTGATCTCATTAACAAATATCTTTTTTATATTAACTTCTTCGAGTTACAGTGACTATATAGAAATTACACAAATCAGAACATCTGAAAAAAGATGCGAATAATTGAATACTTAGCCAGAAAAAAATATAATACGAGTAGGTTTAAACACCGGTAATATCCGAACGACTAAAACTAGGCTTTGAGTTTCAGAAGTACGTGTCAGTGTGAATGCGAATGTTGGTGGGACCCTAAATGCGTTTTTGCATGAATACAATTCGATGCGTTATATTTTTCTCTGGCATACATCTACTTCGAGAAGCACATCTAGATAGCACAATTTGCAATAAAGCTGATCCGATGCAAGTCATCAGCTAAGGTCGAACGCACACCATCTAAAAAAATCACTGATTGCACATTAGTATCACAGAAAATGTGCCAATTACACATAAACCCTTCCTGACCACACCAGCTAGTAAGAAAAGAAATAGAAACTCATTAAATTACTGCTAGTCGAATAAAGCTTGACAGACCCATAGCCGAACACCGAAAACATTTAATTTGCTGAACTGGCGGCCTGGAAAAATTTCATATATATTTGATATTACTCAAATTATCGAACCTGTAATCACGCTAACACATTTGAATGCGTTACTCTCACAATGACTCCCAGATCACAAACTCATTTTATTTCATATGACCCTTCCTTGAGTCGAGGGATAAAAAGCTCGTTTCTGATTGGTTCATTTTCTGACCAATGAAAGCTCAAATCGAAAAACCGACTTCATATTTGGATTCCTGGATTTCGAGAACCTATTACAAAGTTTTATCAAAAGATCGAAAAGCGTTAAAATAAACAAGACCGTTTCTGATTGGTCGGTTTTACAGCCAATGGGAAGGTCGGAAGTTAAATTCAATCTCAGATTCAAAATCTTGACCAGTGTTTCTAATGGCAAGTGTACACAGCGGAAGCAAAATGTACAAACATCTGCTGATGCGAAAATACACGCTGCTGTACACTTGCTTTAAAAAGTAGCGTGTACGATGTACACTTTGCCGAAAAAAATTTTTAGTAAAAATTGTGTTGAAACAAGGCGTGGATGGTGTGACCTCTTTTGATTTGTTCAATCATTCGTTAAATAGGATCAGTTTTCCTTTTCTAGGTTTATTGTGTATTTATTTGATCAGATTCATTTCGTTGTTTGTTAAAACCGTGTTATTATATTAGTTTTAGTTTTTAATTTTACTTTAGGTGTATTATTAATGAATAATTTACAATTAAAATTAGATGTACTTTGGAATAAAAAAAATCTCCGAATAATTGTGTTACATGTCGAACGGAAAATGAAGTTCAAATGTTACCGTTGGTTTCATTTCCATCATTAAAAACTATTGAAGCACAAACAACCAGATGTGAAAATGAATTTATACTTAGTGGTGAAGTTATAGTTGGTGATGATCTTATAGTTGGCGATGATCTTATAGTTGGGGATGAAACTGAAGTTGTAGTTAGAAACGATACTGATGTTGAACATGAAATTCAAGTTATTAATGAACCATCATGCAATGAATCATTAAGTTCTAAAAACGGTCAAAATAAGAATTCATCAATTGGTGTTAAAGAATGTTTAAGTAAGAAAGTAACATCTGTTCGTTCTAACCATCGTACAAAATACAAACATTCTTGGGAACTAATAACTGATGCACAATACAAAACGTATATATTTGATCATTGTCGTGAACGACAAGAAAAGTTCTCATGTTGGTTGTATTACATGAATAACTCGATGCATTGCACACTGAAAAAAAACGGTACGACACCGAACCCAAAAGGATGTTTTGGACTAAAAAAAGGTTTCGTGCATAATACGGAACCCAAAAGGATTTCGATTTCGTTTCAATTCTCTGAACCCTTTTAGGTTTCGCAGATAGAACTACGAACCCTACCACCCGACAAACTCAACAAACGAAGT